TTCGCAAACAGATCTAAGAGAATGATTCTGTGATTGGCGATACGCGAATCCGCTTACGCACGATCCGCTGCATGGGACATCACCCTTAGTTGCAAAAACCCCGTTGCCGGTCGCAAAGGTTGGCAACTACTAGTTGCAAAGTGCTATTTCCGTTTGCAATAGATAGTCACGGTTGCCAACGGAAAGTTGCCCAACTTTTAACTCCTTGGAAACAGCAACTGTCTACCGTAACATCTTAGCCAATCAAATATTGTGTTCGAAAAGTGCGAAGAGTGAAAAGAAAGTTGTTGTGATATATCGGTAGTGTTTGTTTTATTTCATTTTCATTTCGAGAACATCTCGAATATTTATCACATAATCTGCTTGATATATTCTCTTCGACTGTTCGGCTACAGCAAATAACGACGGACGTTCTACTTTCTGATTGGCTGTTTCTATACAAATCACAACTTTCGACATCCAAATGTGGATTAGGTGTTGCAATGATTTACAACTTGTGACTGGCAACCTGTCACTCCGCAACTGGCAACGGGGTGTTTGCAACTTATTGCAATGATTGTAAACCATTGCAACATTTAATCCACATTTGGATGTCGAAAGTTACTATTGCAACGCCATCTCTTAGAAAGAAATCAATTAAAATAGTGCTCGGTGTCATGGCTTCACGTCAATTTTATAGCATATTCGATTTACTGACTCGACCCGACTCCGAGTCAACAGTCTGTTCTGTTTAGCTGCACAAAAGAAGAGCTAAATTGTGTAAGAAATGCAGCTGAAAAGAACAGACTGTTGACTCGGAGTCGAGTCGAGTCAGTAAATCGAATACGCTATATATCAAGCAGATTATATGATAGATATTCGAGATGTTCTCGAAATGAAAATGAAATAAATGAAACACCACCGACATATCACAACAACTTTCATTTCACTCTTCGCGCTTTTCGAACACAATATTTGATTGGCTAAGATGTTACGGTAGACAGTTGCTGTTGCCAAGGAGTTAAAAGTTGGGCAATTCTCCGTTGGCAACCGCGACTATCTATTGCAACCGGAAATAGCACTTTGCAACTAGTAGTTGCCAACCTTTGCGACTGGCAACGGGGTGTTTGCAATTGGTGGCACCCATCGACATCTAGACTGGACCGCTGATGGCAATGGTGGGGGTAGAAAGACGATTAGAGTGAGAGGCAGGAA